CACTATATTATATCACTCATTCACTAACTTTTCTCATTCTTCAATTATCTTCTTCATCATTGTTATCATTGAACACTATCACTATCTCATTCAAGATTACTGTCTCTTCTTCTGTTCAATATCTTCTATCTGTTTATCTATCACATTGTACATGTTTCTGATGATGATCTCTTATTCTCACAATAAGTATTATTATAGTGCTTATACTGAGCAGTTCATTAGCAGTAAGTGTAACACATTGTGAAATGTATATAATCAGAACTTGTTTATCTTCTAATAATCATCAGAATGTATTATCATGAATGACACATCTTCTTTATCTTCTTATACACTCTCAATCATTTTCATCTCAGCAGGTTTCTGATCATGTTTTCTGACATAATTTATGTAAATGCAGATGCTGATATATTTGTTTTTATTCATATAGAATTTTCATACATTGACAGATCTGTATTCACTGATAATAGTGAACTCAATGTTAAATCATTGATCAAGAACTTGAAGAACATAATAATGAAGAAATTATCTGTATTATGTATGACTGAGTCTTCTGCATTCTCTTCTATCTCTTCTGCTGCTTCTTTCTCTATTACTCTCTCTCAATCTTCTACACTTACTTCTGTGTCTGATTCTTTCACTCATGCTATCTCTGTTTCTGCAACTCTTACTTCTGCTACTTCTGGTTTTACTGTCTCTGCTTTCATTATCAGCTCTCCTCATTTCAAGAAGATATTATATAGACTTAATAAATTGCATTTTTCAGTGTGTACACTTCTGCTCTTCTTACTGACTCTCAGAATAATTTATTATATAAAGACTGTATATAATATGACTATCTGAAGCTCAGTCACAGACACTGATTATTATATTTATTTTAAATATTTATAATGAAGTAATTATTCATTTATATTAGAGAATCACTTTCTCTCTTAACAGTATTAAGATTATAAGTCTGTTTCTTTTTCATCTTTTCTTTCTGATGCTGATTTTTCTATTCTTAGAGAAAATTATTATAGATTTTACTGTGTATGAAGTCATAATATTCATAGATATCAAGAAACTTTTTATAACTGTAAAGTTCAATATCATAGAGATATTCACTCTGATGAATTTCTTTAAGATAATAGATCTGTATCAGTCTATTCTCTGATATCTATTATTTAACTTCATGATGCAGACAAAAGATATCTGTGTTTTCAGAAATAAAAATATGAATATCATACTCTTTTACACTCATGAGTGTGAGGCTTGTACACCTTGTCTGAGATGTTATTATAAAAATGAGCTGTTCATACACTGTGTTCTACTTTCTGTATTTCTCTGTGTTCTTCTCTCTCTTTCTGAGAAGTCTCATGCATGTTGTAATTATATGTACAACTCTAAGATCAGCAGATATTTATTTAATAACTATTCTCATCTCTGATTTTGCAGTTTTTATATACTAATAATGATTATTAATTACTCTGATATCAGAGGTCATTCTAATCAAAGATAATAATACTACTGAGACTACTCTCTTTCACTCTTAAGCTTTTTCTATTGTTTTCTCTCTCTTCTCTGCAGAGAAGATTATGCATATATCAAGTTATAAGTATTCAGCTCTGAGTAACTCTCACTGTCATTCATTTAGTTGTGTATCTTCTTCTTTAGTTTCTTTTATCTTTACTCTCTCTGCTCTGACTTCTGGTTCTGCAGGTCTCACACTCTTCTTCAATTTTTCTATACACACACATACACATTTCTATATTGGCATTCCAGTCAATCTTGTGATAAACGACATTAATATCATATACAGAGTGATAGTGTGATTCAAAGGTTGCTTTAGCCAGCGTACGATTACAGGCGTACGCCGGCTTCTTATATATCGTATGCTAAATTAATTAGTGGCCGCTATGGCCCCTTTACATTTGTAAGCAAGTTCAGAAGCAGCTGTGTTATTATTCAACAGTTGTACATTCTTTCAAACCACATCCTCTCTCACCAGATTCAGTCATATTCATGTGACTATGATGTCTGTCCTAGCTTCATGCGGATTAGCATGTCAGTAGCATTCATGATCATGTGATCTATTCCTGATTCAGCTAGCATTCTGTGTACACTCTCACAAAGAAACTTTCACTATATTATATCACTCATTCACTAACTTTTCTCATTCTTCAATTATCTTCTTCATCATTGTTATCATTGAACACTATCACTATCTCATTCAAGATTACTGTCTCTTCTTCTGTTCAATATCTTCTATCTGTTTATCTATCACATTGTACATGTTTCTGATGATGATCTCTTATTCTCACAATAAGTATTATTATAGTGCTTATACTGAGCAGTTCATTAGCAGTAAGTGTAACACATTGTGAAATGTATATAATCAGAACTTGTTTATCTTCTAATAATCATCAGAATGTATTATCATGAATGACACATCTTCTTTATCTTCTTATACACTCTCAATCATTTTTCATCTCAGCAGGTTTCTGATCATGTTTTCTGACATAATTTTATGTAAATGCAGATGCTGATATATTTGTTTTTATTCATATAGAATTTTCATACATTGACAGATCTGTATTCACTGATAATAGTGAACTCAATGTTAAATCATTGATCAAGAACTTGAAGAACATAATAATGAAGAAATTATCTGTATTATGTATGACTGAGTCTTCTGCATTCTCTTCTATCTCTTCTGCTGCTTCTTTCTCTATTACTCTCTCTCAATCTTCTACACTTACTTCTGTGTCTGATTCTTTCACTCATGCTATCTCTGTTTCTGCAACTCTTACTTCTGCTACTTCTGGTTTTACTGTCTCTGCTTTCATTATCAGCTCTCCTCATTTCAAGAAGATATTATATAGACTTAATAAATTGCATTTTTCAGTGTGTACACTTCTGCTTCTTCTACTGACTCTCAGAATAATTTA